TTTTTTTTATAGAGATCGTAATAACTACGATATATGTTTTCACGTTAAATTACCCCCCTTTTTCGGAGAATGCTGCAAATCTGTAATTTCTGTGTAAATATATGCTCTTAATGTTTGTTCTTTAAAAATGGATCGAATGTTTTTTTTTTTTTTTTTTTTTTTGTTAAATTTAATTTTTTGAAAAGAAATCGTAGTTTTTATGCTTCGTTTGTAACTTGATCCGATAACGAATTTTTTTTTTTTTTGGTTTATTTCAAATGTTTTGTTATACTGTGTTCTTGTGTGTTCCATTACCAACAAATGAACCTAGGTGGCATGTCCTTAAAAAAAAAAACATGTCATTTTTGGGTTTTAATGTTGGATTTCTCCTGGCCACTGTTCTGAAGGATGGTTCAAGAAGTGAGGTGTGAGTATATAACTTCATGTCAATACACATACTCTTTGAAATTCATTACTTCTAATGCCCTACTTTGGAATGCTTGAACAATTCAACATTACAAAACTTTAAATTTTAACTGTTATTCTATCAAAATCAATAGCAACATTTCAGAAATGGTTGCAGCGTTTAATGCACTTGCTGCTTACAAAACAAACTTTTCAATCTTATTTAAGATTCATACACTTAAAAGGCAGTTGCATAAAAAAAATGTGTTATTTGCACCTCAATTTAGAGAAACAAACCCGAGTTTCCTTCTATAAAAGATATTATGTACTTATTTGCATTCTATTCTGTAAATTAAACAGCAGAAATTGAGTTTTTAACTTAGCATCACACTGTTGAATGTGAATAAAGTCTTACCAACAATGAAAAACTCATTCTTTCAAATAAAGACATCTCATCTTGAAATTCAATAGTTAATATTCCCCATTGTCGAATGCTGCGACAATCACAGATACGTAGCAGTTATGCTATAAAAGTTGTTATTTTCTGTAAATAAATCTCTGAAAGCGGGAAATTAGTACTTTTGTTTTTTCAGTGCTTTGACATACGCATGATGTATAATATGTACCATATATTTCTTATAACTGCAAAATTTTTTCGTGCTGAATTGGTTGTGGCCTGTGTAAAAAAAGACGGTACATATTTTAAATTGTCTCATCAAGCGCTTCCATCCCGTTTATTTTCATTTGAAACGAGTTGCCACTTGCAAAAAGACATATATTTCGAATCTACTGTGTCTGATTCTAGCGGCAACGTATGCTCTTCCAATTTTTGATTGGTTGTTGAAGTTTAGTTTTCTTCGCGCGGGAACGGAACTTTAACTGTGACTGTGAATTTTAAGTTTCAGTTCCAATCTTTTTTCGTTCGAACGGGAGCCATGTTAAAT